AAAGGTCGCAACTGGTGAATCAGGCGTACCTGATAGAACGCCCCCCTGGTCACGGCCGCCAACTGGTCATCCAGTGTCAGCCGTGGATCCAGGAGGACACCCAGATTGCGTACCCTATCCGAGGGAGCCAGAGTTTCGCCCCCTATAGTCAGCGATGGAATCAGCTGACTATGCCGAGGCGCCGGTAGCCACAGCCACTTATTCATTTATGAAACTTATATACCGCCCATCTGGCCTAGACGTCACTCTAGGCCAGGGGTCTTCAAACTTGTCCCTTTTATGACTTGTGGACTTCAACTCCCAGAATTCCTCAGCCAGCGTGCTCTTTGGCTGAGGAATTCTGGGAGTTGAAGTCCACAAGTCATAAAAGGGACAGGTTTGAAGACCCCTGCTCTAAGCAGTTTACAATCAGCAAAAGCAACAAGATAAAACATTAAAACTTGAACATAATAAATATTAACATTAATACTGCCTTAAAATTTAGCAAAGATGGGGAGGAAGAGAGCAAGACAGAGGTGGGGATCTTATGTCAATCGGTTAACCACCTCCAGAATGATGCACCCCCATTGGGGCCCTAGGCCAGGTAGCAGAGCCAGGTCTTCAGGAACCTTCAGAAGTCCAAAAAGGTGGGTATAGATGCCCTCTCAGGTCCATGATGTTTCAGAAGGTGGGAGTCACACCAGAAAAGGCTCTTCTCCTGGATCCCACCAGCTGGAATTCCTTAACTCGGGTCCCCAACCTCAATCCATGGACCAGTACAAGGCCGCGGCATGCCAGCAACCGGTCCTCACAAACAAACAAAGACCCATCCATGAGATGCAGGCAGCACACAAAACCACACACACTCCGGTCCCTGGTGCCCAAAAGGTTGGAGACCTCTGCCTTAACTGACTGGGTCTGCAGCATGCCCCTTCTGCTGGCATGGGTGTGGTGGGCCACTGGAGTGAGATAGTTCTTCTGATGACCTCGTGTCCCAGGTTGCTTCCCTTACCTGGTTTTGACCCAAAGGTGGCAAACGAAGGCATTGCTTCTTCCTAAGACTCTTAAGTTGGTCCTTCAAGAAGCACACGGAAGGAAGGGGTGCATGCAGGGAAGCAAAGCACAACTACCTAATACCATCAGTGACCATCAGCTCCATTGAAGGCAAACTTTTAGCAATGCTAAAAGGGCTTTCAAAGCACCCAAAGGATTTTATTTTAATGACCTTTTTGGAGTTGGAGCTCTTGATATTTTTTTGTCCAGCCAGGTCCACCTCTGCTGAGCTTTCCTGAAACAGTGCCATTAGGTCAAAGGGTTTGGGCCTAATCTTTGTAGGGAGTGGACCTCCGAAGAGAAGCTTATTTTGCAGCAAAGAGGCAAGGGACAGTATATGAAGTCCCTGAAGAAGTTTGGTAGCCGTAAAATGGATCAGAAACAGTTGATTACAAACATACCTGGAGCTGAGGGGGCACAGTGGTTAGAATGCAATATTGCAGGCTAACTCTGCCCACAGACAGCAGTTCAATCCTGATGGGCCTCCAGGTTGACTCAGCCTTCTATCCTTCCAAGGTCGATAAAATGAGGACCCAGGTTGTTGGGGACAAGAGGCTGACTCTGTAAACTGCTTAGAGAGGGCTGTAAAGCACTATGAGGTGGTATATGTCTCAGGGGTAGGAAACCTCGGCTCTTTTATGACTTGTGGACTTCAATACCCAGAATTCCTGAACCAGCCATGCTGACTCAGGAATTCTGGGAGTTGAAGTCCACCAGTCATAAAAGAGCCAAGGTGCCCTACCCTTGTCTAAGTGCTCCTGCTACATGTGGATCCTCAGAGCAGAGGCAACCGGGAAGAGTTGAGCAAGGATCCGTATCATTCTTGCGCATTTGTGAACAATGCAGACATGAGAAAGAGTAAAGCAATTGCCGTGATTGATGTTTGGATTGGGGGAGAAAGATGCACCTGTGTAGAGTCAGCAGTCCTTTACGTTTGATCGATTTCAGTTGAACCCCCTTTTCCTTTCCTTTGCAAACCCAACCTGACTAAATCAAGTCAGCATCCCAATTCTGGTACTTATTCCACAATATGGCAAAATCCCCCACCTCCTCCCCTCCCCCAAAACAGATTCCCAGGCGCCACGCTGTAGAAATGCTTGCCATCTCCGGCTACTGCGGGAGTGGCTGCCATCTCACTGCAGAGTTGGCAGACACACAGGGCGCGAGGTTGGCACTGCAGCCCGACTGCCTCCCAGCGCAGAGATGGAACACCTTTAAAGTTAGACGCATCGGCTAAGAAGTTGCCTCTCCTGCTTCCAGAATAAAATCAAAATCCCCAGATTCTCACTGGTGGCTGGAAAGCCACTGGACAGGTTGAGCTTTGACCCATCATTTCTAGGTTGCTTTAGTGCCACGGTGCAGTTTGGAAACATCTATCTTGCTTATGTGACACCTCTATTAGGTGGTTCTCCGTGGGTCTGTGTCTGGGTGGGTGAGGGAGAGGGAGAGAATCTGGCTGCATTCTCTCATTGTTAGCCTTCCTTGTTTTGGACCGAGCTGCTGGTTTCAGCCAATACGATTTGAAATCCGGTTGCGTTCCAGCACTTAATGCAGCAGCCGGAGCTGCTCTTCGAAATGTTTGTGTCGCTCTGAGCCTGGTTGCCTTCTCTTTTCTTGACTGGCTGTTTATTGCTTGGCAATCGAATAGACAGGTGTTAAACCTGCTTGGGGCAACTGGGAGGGGCAAGGGGAAAAGAGAAATGGCTTTGCATTAATAGTGATCTCCTGCAACTGGAAACAGAAGCTGTTTTTCTGTTATGTTTTTTTTTTCCAGAGAGATAGTTCTGGTGCAAGGGGGGAGAATTTATTTTCTTCTACTCAAATATCCCTTTAAGCTTTTGTGCTGTTGGTTCTTTTGGGTTTTGTTTTCCTTCAGCGATGGATTTTCTTTTTCCTTCCTTCCCCCCACACTCTCTTTTCCCCTCCCTCCCCACCGCCGGTGGTAGCAGAAGGGCCATAGTGTTGTGGAACGGCTGGCTTTGTCCCTGTTTTCACAGATGCACTGGGAATTGTTTTTAATCTCCTTTCTGCTTTCCCATTACAGATGGCGAAGACGACCCACAACTCTCTTGGGTAGCTTCATCTCCCTCCAGCAAAGATGTTGCATCACCCACTCAGATGATAGGAGATGGGTGTGATCTCGGCATCGGAGACGAGGAAGGGGGGACCGGCCTGCCGTATCCCTGCCAGTTTTGCGATAAGTCCTTCATTCGCCTGAGCTACCTTAAAAGGCATGAGCAGATTCACAGCGACAAGCTACCGTTCAAATGCACCTACTGCAGCCGACTTTTCAAGCACAAGAGGAGCAGAGACCGGCACATTAAGCTGCACACGGGGGACAAGAAGTACCACTGCCACGAATGCGAGGCGGCCTTCTCCCGCAGTGACCACCTCAAGATCCACTTGAAGACCCACAGCTCAAGCAAACCCTTCAAGTGCACGGTCTGCAAACGGGGGTTCTCCTCCACCAGCTCCCTGCAAAGCCACATGCAAGCGCACAAGAAGAACAAGGAGCACCTGGCCAAGAGTGAGAAGGAGGGGAAGAAGGACGACTTCATGTGTGACTACTGCGAGGAGACCTTCAGCCAGACCGAAGAACTGGAGAAGCACGTCATGACCCGCCATCCACAGTTGTCTGAAAAGGCTGACTTGCAGTGCATCCATTGCCCGGAGGTCTTTGCCGATGAAAATTCTCTCCTGTCCCACATCCACCAAGCTCATGCCAACAAAAAACATAAGTGTCCCATGTGCCCTGAGCAGTTCTCTTCCGTGGAAGAAGTTTATTGCCACTTAGATAGCCATCGACAGCCTGATTCCAGCAACCACAGCATCAGCCCAGATCCCGTCTTGGGCAGCGTGGCCTCCATGAGTAGTGCCACACCAGATTCCAGTGCATCGGTGGAACGGGGCTCCACACCTGACTCGACCCTGAAACCCTTGAGGGGGCAAAAGAAAATGAGATCATTGGAAAGGGAAGAGGGCCAGACTTGGTCAAAGGTAGCCTACAGCTGCCCTTATTGCACCAAACGCGACTTTAACAGTCTCGCTGTTTTGGAGATCCATCTGAAGACCATCCATACAGATAAACCTCAGCAAAACCACACATGCCAGATTTGCCTTGAATCCATGCCTACCTTATACAACCTGAACGAACACGTGCGGAAAGTGCATAAAAACCATGCCTATCCGATGATGCAGTTCAGCAACATCTCTGCTTTCCACTGTAACTATTGCCCAGAGATGTTTGCCGATATCAACAGTCTGCAGGAACACATCCGTATTGCCCATTGTGGGCCGGGAGCCACAGCACAAGATGGTAACAACGCCTTCTTTTGCAACCAGTGTTCCATGGGCTTTCTCACCGAAGCTTCTCTGACTGAGCACATCCAGCAAACTCACTGCAACATTGGGAACTCCAAGTTGGATTCTCCTGTGGTTCAACCCTCTCAGTCTTTTATGGAGGTTTATTCCTGTCCGTATTGCACGAACTCGCCCATTTTTGGCTCCATCCTCAAGCTAACAAAACATATTAAAGAAAACCACAAGAACATTCCACTGGCACACAATAAAAAGTCCAAAGGTGAGCAGAGCCCAGTGTCTTCGGATGTTGAAGTTTCTTCCCCCAAAAGACAACGGCTTTCTGCTAGTGTCCATTCTGTTTCCAATGGCGAATATCCGTGCAATCAATGTGAGCTGAAGTTCTCCAACTTTGAAAGTTTCCAGACCCATTTGAAGTTGCACTTAGAGTTGCTGTTAAGGAAGCAGTCGTGTCCTCAGTGCAAAGAAGACTTTGATTCCCAGGACTCTCTTCTGCAGCATCTCACTATCCATTACATGACGACCTCAACACATTATGTCTGCGAGAGCTGTGACAAGCAATTTTCGTCGGTGGATGATCTGCAGAAGCATCTCCTGGACATGCATACGTTTGTCTTATACCATTGCACCCTGTGTCAAGAAGTTTTCGACTCCAAAGTATCCATCCAAGTGCATTTGGCAGTCAAGCACAGTAATGAGAAGAAAATGTACCGCTGCACAGCATGTAACTGGGATTTTCGGAAGGAGGTGGACCTCCAGATCCACGTGAAGCATAGCCATTTGGGGAACCCTGCCAAGTCACACAAGTGCATCTTCTGTGGGGAGACCTTCAGCACAGAGGTGGAGCTGCAGTGCCACATCACGACCCACAGCAAAAAATACAACTGCAAATTCTGCAGTAAGGCGTTCCATGCCATTATTCTGCTCGAAAAACATTTGCGGGAGAAGCATTGTGTCTTTGATGGAGGTGCTGAGAATGGCACGGCCAATGGCATGACACCAGCCAGCAAGAAGGCCGAGTCGACAGATATCCAGAACATGTTGATCAAAAACCCAGATACATCCAATAGCCATGAAGCTAGCGAGGATGACATTGATGCCTCTGAACCTATGTACGGTTGTGATATTTGTGGAGCTGCGTATACAATGGAAGTCCTTCTGCAGAACCATCGTTTGCGGGATCATAACATCCGACCTGGGGAGGATGATTGTTCCAGGAAGAAAGCGGAGTTCATCAAAGGGAGTCACAAGTGTAACATCTGTTCAAGGACCTTTTTCTCAGAGAATGGCCTCCGGGAACACATGCAGACCCATCGGGGTCCAGCAAAGCATTACATGTGTCCTATTTGTGGGGAGCGCTTCCCATCGCTCCTGACCTTAACGGAACATAAAGTAACTCACAGCAAGAGCTTGGACACGGGCACATGTCGGATCTGCAAAATGCCACTGCAAAGTGAAGAGGAATTCATTGAGCACTGCCAGATGCATCCTGATCTTAGGAATTCCCTCACCGGGTTTCGTTGTGTTGTCTGCATGCAGACAGTCACCTCGACTCTGGAGTTGAAAATCCACGGAACGTTCCATATGCAAAAATTGGTAGGGAGCTCGGCCACGTCATCGCCCAACGGCCAGGCTTTGCAGAAATTCTACAAGTGTGCTCTGTGCTTGAAAGACTTCAGAAACAAGCAAGACCTGGTGAAACTGGATGTTAATGGTCTACCATATGGTCTGTGTGCTGTTTGCATGGCTCGGAGCACCAATGGACAGTCCTTGGGCCTGACTGTACCAGACATTAGCGAAAGACCTTGTGGTAGTCTGAGATGTCCAGAGTGTAGTGTCAAATTTGAAAGTGCTGAAGAGCTAGAGAGCCATCTCCAGCTGGATCATCGAGACCTGACGCCTGAAACCAGTGGCCAAAAGAAGGGTACACAGACATCCCCCATTCCCAGAGTAAGTATTGCCATAGATTTTCATGAATATCATTAGAAATGATCAGTATAAATCTGTATTCTGTTCAACACTTTACATGCTTGAAATGTATACAGGTGATTGTCAATTAACGGTCACTTATTCAGGGACATAATTGTGCTAAATAAGTGGTATTTACAATTGGTCCTTGAAATTCCTGCAGTTGCAACACCACTGTAGTCATGTGATCACAGTTTGGGTGCTCAGCAATTGGCCCAGAATTTTGACCAGCACAACATCCTGCAATCACCTGATGCAACTTTCCCTACCAGCTTCTCACAAGCAAAGTCAATGGGGAAGCCTGCAGGAAGTCGGAAGTCATGATTACTGAGGTTCTTGCTTAATGACCTACGATGATTTGCTTAACAACAGTAGCCGGGCGGGGCTGCTGGAACTGCTGTCACTAAGTGATATGGTCATGTGACATTGCACTTTGGAACCACATTGCATAGTGATTGAAATTTTGGTCCTGGTCATTAAGCAAGGACTACCTCTAGAATAGAATTCTTTATTGGCCAAGTGTGGTTGGACACACAAGGAATTTGTTTCTGGTGCATAAGCTCTCAGTGTACATACAAGTAATAGTGGTAATCACGATCATATACAACATGAAAATACATTCATCATAAATCGTGAAATACAACTTAAGTTTCCATCAGGTGAGAAGAAACTTGCATTCTATTTTAGTACTGAAAATGTCTATCTGCCTCTTCCAAAGCCTAGAGTTGGTATGTAGAATTCTATATATATGAGAGTTCTATGCGAAGGCTGAAACTGGATAAAATTTTGGATTGACGTATGCCTTTTATACAGACATTATAGCAGTGTTCCAATATCTCAGGGGCTGCCACAAAGAAGAGGGAGTCAAGCTATTCTCCAAAGCACCTGAGGGCAGGACAAGAAGCAACGGATGGAAACTGATCAAGGAGAGAAGCAACCTAGAACTAAGGAGAAACTTCCTGACAGTTAGAATAATTAACCAGTGGAACAACCTGCCTCCAGAAGCTGTGGCTGCTCCATCACTAGAGGTTTTTTAAGAAGAAACTGGTCAGCCATTTGTCCGAAATGGTATAGGGTTACCTGCCTGAGCAGGGGGTTGGACGTGATGACGTCCAAGGTCCCTTCCAACTTCATTATTATTATATTATATATTATATTATATTATATTATATTATATTATATTATATTATATTATATTATATTATATTATATTATATTATATTATATTATATTATATTATATTATATTATATTATATTATATTATATTATATTATATTATATTATATTATATTATAATATAATATTATATTATTATATTATATTATATTATATTATATTATATTATATTATATTATATTATATTATATTATATTATATTATATTATATTATATTATATTATATTATTATTCTTAAAAATCTGAGTATGAATGCCTAATTGCAAAAATGAAGCAGCATAGATTTCAGTTTTCACTTTTTTCTTTTAAGCACAAACTTTTCTTGATGTTAAGCCTGGGTGGTGGTGATGCTGTTTGGACAAGTCGTGTGATTTTACTTACAGGCTGGATCATATGCTGGAAATAAAAATTGTTTCACGGTTAAGTGATAATGGAGTGCCACACCCTAAAAATATTGTGTAAAACCTTATTCCTCTGGAAACTACTTCTAGGCAGAAAAAATGTCTAAAAATTGCTGTCATCTGCCTGAAAATTATTGGACAGGGAAGCAATGCGTCTCAGTAAAGAATTAATTTCTTACTGATATTTTTTTTTCAATTAGAAATAACTTTTACAGAGAAGATAATTGGATAATTTTGGGATCTCATCCCTTTGGATCCTCTTAACATTTAGAATCCTGAAGAAGGAAAAATGATATAGTGGGACCTTCCTCACAATGTGTTGTCCCATGTTCTTTAATCTTTCTGCTTTGCTCAGCCTCCAAGGTGGAGACTGAAAATGGGAATTCAGAAAAGCTCTGTAAGCCCTATTATACATCACTAATTCAGAACTTTGCAGAGTCACTGGGAGGCAAAGAAATTTAATCATCATCTGGAGAAGAGCTTTTTTTTTTAGGCCTTTTTCATTTAGATTCAGTTTAAGAAAAGATAAAGGTAAAAAATTTCCCCTGTCGGCTGAACTTTACACTTATGACCGTCACAGCATCCCCACAATCATATGATCAAAGTTTGAGCACTTGGCAACCAGCACACATTTACAATGGTCACAGCATCCCAAGGTCATGGGATACACCTGGAATACCGCGTCCAGTTTCGGTCACCACATTACAAAAAAAGATGTTGAGACTTTGGAAAAAGTGCAGAGAAGAGCAACTAAGACGGTTAAAGGCCTGGAGACTAAAACATATGAAGAACGTTTGCTGGAATTGGGTAGGTCTTGTTTAATGAAGAGAAGGACTAGGGGTGACATGATAACAATGTTCCAATATCTCAGGGGTTGCCCCAAAGAAGAGGGAGTCAAGCTATTTTCCAAAGCACCTGAAGGCAGGACAAGAAGCAACGGATGGAAACTCATCCAGGAGAGAAGCAACCTAGAAATAAGGAGAAATTTCCTGATAGTCAGAACAATAAACCAGTGGAACAACCTGCCTCCAGAAGTTGTGGGTGCTCCAACACTGGAAGTTTTTAAGAAGAGACTGGACAACCATTTGTCTGAAATGGTATAGGCTTTCCTGCCTGAGCAGGGGGTTGGACTAGATGACCTCCAAGGTCTCTTCCAACTCTGTTATTCTGGCCCAACACCCATCCAAAGGTCTTTCCCCTCATGTGAGTCTGAAATCGCCTGACAAAGCAAGCTCCTGTGATGGAGCTGGGAATCAGTCATCCAGGAAGCTTTCGCCAGTGGGGGCAATATGTTGGGTTCAAAGGATTTTTTTTGGGGGGGGGGGGTGTTGAAACAATCCCAAGCTAAAGCTCCTTTTTGCTTTGTTTGATTCCATGCTTTGCTGCGGTGCTCCCTGGAGGTCAAGTGAATCAGTGACTAGACCGGTCTCCAGCTGTGGTATACGTCTAATTCTGCAGAGAATAAAATACAGAATGGAAACACCTCTCCCTTCAGTGTGGAAGGCCCTTGGGCTTTCGTCATCCCAAACCGCTTATTATCCTGGTCCCCGTCTTTCTACTTTTTTTCTTTCTTGATTGCACTTTGCCCTTCTCTTCTTAAAGAACCTCGACTTTTAAAGCCCTCGACTTTTATGGCAGGCTAATTCTAGTTTTGTGTGGTTGCACACAGTGGCTGCAGTATTTCAAACTCTCACCGCACAGGTTTTTTTTTTTTTAAACTACTATTCTTCTGGCTACCTCACAGTCTCTGCGAATGGAAATGGATGGTGTCCCCTTCACACCTACTTTTAAGTATATCTCTTCAAGAAGCGCTTCCATGTTTCCTCTTTTCTCTGGAGAGACTTTTAAGTTCTTCAACAAAGTAAATGTGTTAAAATTGTATCCCAAGAGAGCAGATTTTTTTTTTCTTGTAGAAGATAATGAAAAAAAAAATCAGAATTCAGATGTCTGCCAAATTACACTTTACCGAAGGTATTGGCGTATATGCTAATATTTGACTTCTGCCATTTATCATTAACAGGAGTAATTCTCTTAGTAGATTGATGGATGCAAACAAGGGCTGTGCCTCTTTCGTCTAACCCAGGGGATTCCAAACTTGGCAACTTTAAAACCTGTAGACTTCAACTCCCAGAATTCTTCAGCCATCCACGAGATCGACAAGTTGAGTTGAGGTCCACAAGTCTTAAAGTTTCAAGTTTGAAGAGCCCTGGTCTAACTCCTCTTAGTCCTCCAGGCAGATTATCAGTTGTCCTGACCCTGCTCTGTATTATAATAATAATAATAATAATAATAATAATAATAATAATAATAATAATAATAACAACAACAACAACAACAACAACAACAATAATAATAATAATAATAATAATAATAATAATAATAATAATAATAATAATAATAAAAAGTTGGAAGGTACCTTGGAGGTCATCTAGTCCAACCCCCTGCTCAGGCAGGAAACCCTATACCATTTCAAACAAATGGCTGTCCAGTCTCTTCTTAAAAACCTCCAGTGTTGGAGAATTCACCACTTCTGGAGGCAGGTTGTTAATTGTTAATTGTTAATTGTTCTAACTGTCAGGAAGTTTCTCCTTAGTTCTAGGTTGCTTCTCTCCTTGATTAGTTTCCATCCGTTGCTTCTTGTCCTGCCTTCAGGCGCCTTGGAAAATAGCTTGACTCCCTCTTCTTTATGGCAGCCCCTGAGATATTGGAACACTGCTATCATGTCCCCCCTCCTCCTTCTCTTCATTAAACTAGACAGACCCAATTCCAGCACCTTTCCTTATATGTTTTAGCCTCCAGTCCCCTAATCATCTTTGTTGCTCTTCTCTGTACTCTTTCTAGAGTCTCAACTTCTTTTTTACATCGTGGTGACCAAAACTGGATGCAGTATTCCAAGTGTGGCCTTACCAAGGCATTGTAAAGTCGTATTAATACTTCACGTGATCTTGATTCTATCCCTCTGTTAATGCAGCCCAGCACTGTGTTGGCCTTTTTGGCAGCTGCAGCACACTGCTGGCTCATATTTAAGTGATTGTCCACTAGGACTCTGAGGTCCCTCTCACAGTTACTACTATTGATTAAGGTATCCCGTATACTATACCTGTACATTTGGTTTTTCTTGCCTAAATGTAGAACCCTACTTTTTTCACCATTGAATTTCATTTTGTTAGATAGCGCCCAGTGTTCAAGTCTGTCCAGGTCCTCCTGTATCCTAAGCCTGTCTTCTGGAGTGTTGGCTATTCCTGCCAGCTTGGTGTCATCTGCAAATTTGATTATTTCCCCATCTATCCCCTCGTCCATCAGTTAAGGAAGAACGTGGGTTCTTCTCACAGAAATTTCTTCTTTAAAGAGAGTGTCTTTGTTCTTGGAGTACCAAATTATCTGAATTCAGAATGAGTCTGAATTGTGATGAGTGTTCCCACAGCACCTCCATTTTTGAAAGTGTGAGTAGAACGTGATTGGCTCACCTCCATTTTGATCCAAGATTCCACCTTTGGTGAGCAGTGTTGCATCGTGCTTTTCTAGGCTCAATGCACCTGCATATGGAGGGTATTCAGCTCCCTCCCCAAATTGTCATTTCTTTATTTTTCAGAAAAAAAGACATCAACTTGATATTTTACAGATGGATTGGGATGGTGATGCCCCCAAGTCCTGGTCAATTAGGCCAAATACGGGAGCTGTCAGCTCAATGTATCTGGAAAGCTGATAGAAACAGCTTTTTGCCATGTTCTCCTTGCCTGCTGCTTTAGAACGGTGTTTCCCACCCTCAATCGTTTTCAGATGCATGGACCTCAAGTCCCAGAATACCCCAGGCAGCATTGCTTGCTAGCTGGGGTATTCTGGGACTTGAAGTCCACGCATCTTAAAACAGTTAAGGTTGAGAAACACTGCTTTAGAAGGATGCAAGGAGTCGGAAATGTTTCAGTTAAAATTGGCAGCATCCCAGTTAGGAACCTAGTAATTCCCACGCTTATTCCCATCCTTGTGGAAGTCCCTTTCTGAATGCACATACACGGAGACATCCATATATGCCTCTGAGTATATATATATTTCTGACTGAGGCTGCTTGCAAGTCAGCTTAAAGGTTTTAGCAGATTTCAGAATTATAGGTAAGGGCCCCTGAGTGCTCGTAGCATTTTTTGGAGAAGCGTAAATTTCAATAGCTTGTTAAAGAAGTACATCGAAGATAGCTAGGGAAGCTAGATTGAACAACACACTGTTCTCTGTTTTCTAATCTCTTGTTGATTTGTAATACAACAGGTAAAATGTAGTTTTTACGCAGCCAGCCTTGTATGTGAAATACCAACTGAGCTGTCCAAATGACGTTACTATTCTATAATTCTTGACCAGTTCTTCTTCTTTTTTTTGTTTCCTGGGTCATTATTGATTTTTTCCCCTTTTACACAGAGCCCAACAGTGGAGGATTAGGGAAAAAGGTATAGTCAGAGAGAAGCTATGTTGAGATTACATTAAAAACAGTCGGAGTACATGTTTCGATTAAATGCAAGCGTGCCTCGGTATCTCGGCTCAGAAGGGAGAGAAAGGCAGATTTGAAATATAGGAAGTGCCCTGGATTCTAATATTACGGTAACTAACAAGTGCATCTTGGAAACTTAGCAGCTGGGACTTGAAAAATTCTCAAAATATCTTAAAAGTAAACACTGAGAGGAAAAGTATTATGGTAAAGAAGCTTTTGAGAAACAATTACAGCTAAGAAGATGAGATAATTTTGTTTGATTTAGTAATTCTCTTTTAATGAGTTGTGTAGCACATCCTGGAAAGGAGTACGCAATCAATTTTTCTTTCTTTCTTTCTTTCTTTCTTTCTTTCTTTCTTTCTTTCTTTCTTTCTTTCTTTCTTTCTTTCTTTCTTTCTTTCTTTCTTTCATTCTTCCTTTCTTTCTTCCTTCCTTCCTTCCCTTTCCTCCCTCCCTCCCTACTTCCTTCTTCCTTCCTTCCTTCCTTCCTTCCCTTTCCTTTTCTTCCTCCCTCTCTCCCTCTTTCTTTCTTCCTTCCTTCCTTCCTTTCCCTTCCTTTCCCTTTCCTCCCTCCCTCCCTCCCTCTTCTTTCCTTTCCTTTCCTTTCCTTTCCTTTCCTTTCCTTTCCTTTCCTTTCCTTTCCTTTCCTTTCCTTCCTTCCTTCCTTCCTTCCTTCCTTCCTTCCTTCCTTCCTTCTTCTTTCCTTTCCTTTCCTCTTTCTGGACAAGTGGATGTCCAGTCTTTTCTTTAAAAAAACCTCCAGTGATGAAGCACCATAACGTCTGGAGGCAGGTTGTTCCACTGGTGAATTGTTCTCACTGTCAGGAAGTTTCTCCTTAGTTCTAGGTTGCTTCTCTCCTTGATTAGTTTCCATCTGTTGCTTCTTGTCCTGCCTTCAGGCACTTTGGAAAATAAGTTGACCCCCTCCTCTTCTTTGGGGCAGCCCCTCAAAATACTGGAATACTACTATCATGACCCCCCTCTAGTCCTTTTCTCTAGACTGGACATAACCAGTTCCTGCAACCATTCTTCAAACGTTTTATCCTCCAGTCTCCTAATCATCTTAGTTGCTCTTCTCTCCATGTTTTTTTTTCCAAAGTCTCAACATCTTTTTTGTAATGTGGTTGTGACCAAAACCGGATGCCGTATTCCAGGCATATCACATGACCTTCAGGATGCTATGACCATTGTAAATGTCTGCTGGTTGCCAAGTGCTGAAATTTTAGTCCTGTGATTGTGGGGATGCTGTGACAGTCATAAGTGGAAAGGCTAAGTCCTAAGTCACTTTTTTTCCCAATGCTGTCTTAACGTCAAAGGGTAGTTAAATGAATGAGTTGCAAGTCAAGGATTACCTGTACGAATGCCTGCACCAGACATCAAGCTACCTTTCATGACATTGCCTCCAAGCTGCCAAACTTTCTGCTGTTTCATTTGGTAATGCGAAGTGACTTGTTCTGCAAGGAATAAAAATAGAAAGAATTTTTAGCAACGGGCTTCTAATGGACTTCTTCACCTTCTGACATGAACCCTTTACATTTTAATACTGACGCTAATCATTCCTAGACATTGTGTCCTTGTGTCATTGCTAGGAAGATACAGCCTTGTCACTTTTAAATACAAACCTCTTGTCGGTTTGAATAAAACAGGCAAGTGTCATTGCTTTTTCCAGCTAAGCTTCTGTAGCCTGGCACAGGAAATGCATAATAAATGAGAAAAAGAGAAAAAGAATAAAGAGGGCGTGAAAAAAACCCAAGCCATGTTTCATTATAGATTGCTGATATTTCCTAGAATTCATATTTTCACTTCCAAAAGGAATATGTGCATGCTATTCTGTGGATACTGTCTAATTTCTTTAATGTCTTTTTCTGCAATCACATTCCTCTTATTTAAAGACCAAACGTTTTATTGCAAGGAATAAAACCCTTGGAACACTTTAACAATCTAAGCTTGCCATCCTTGTCCTTACTTACAGGGAATCCCACTGTCTAAGAGTAATAAAAACAAAGAAAGATACACCAAGATCAACTGGTGTTATATTTTCAATGCTTAGTAAAACATTCTTTAAAAAAAAATTTTTCCAGGTATTTTGGAGCAGAATGTACAGTATTGCTGTTAATTTGATCAAGCTGGTCTTGCATTAACATTGAACTCAAAGTTGAATGACTGGACTGTGGTAGCTTTATTGAATGGTGAACTCCCATCTTAATGCTTTCCAGAAGTCATGCGAGCTTTCAGATTCGTAAGTCATTCAAACTTTAAAAATAAAGCTGGAAACATCTCATGGATGAATTATTTCTACTCCTAGAAAATGGTCCTGGATGCTGGGCTTTGTTGAAAGAAGCAAACAGCTTAACAATCAGATTAAGAACGAAGAGCAACGGATGGAAGCTAATCAAGGAGAGAACCAACCTAGAACTAAGGAGAAATTTCCTGACAGTGAGAACAATTAATTAGTGGAACCCTGACTTGCCTCCATCATTAAGAAGAGACTGGACAGCCATTTGTCTGAAATGGTGTAGGATTTCCTGATTGAGCAGGGGGAGGTTGGACTAGAAGACATCCAGGGTCCTTTCCAACTCTCTTATTCTGTTATTCCTGTACTCAGTAACTAATAATAATAATAATAATAATAATAATAATAATAATAATAATAATAATAATAACAACAACAACAACAACAACAACAACAACAACAACAACAACAACACTTGGAAGGAACCTTGGAGGTCATCGAGTCCAACCCCCTACTCAGGCAGGAAACCCTACACCATTTTGGACAAATGGCTGTCCAGTCTCTTCTTAAAAACTTCCAGTGTTGGAGCATTCACCGCTTCTGGAGGCAGGTTGTTCCACTGGTTAATTGTTCTAACTGTCAGGAAGTTTCTCCTTAGTTCTAGGTTGCTTCTCTCCTTGATTAGTTTCCATCCGTTGCTTCTTGTCCTGCCTTCAGGCACCTTGGAGAATAGCTTGACTCCCTCTTCTTTGGGGCAGCCCCTGAGATACTGGAACACTGCTATCATGTCCCCCCTCGTCCTTCTCTTCATTAAACTAGACATATCCAATTCCAGCAACCGTTCCTTATATATTTTAGCCTCCAGTCCCCTAATCATCTTTGTTGCTTTTCTCTGTACTCTTTCTAGAGTCTCAGCATCTTTTTTACATTGTGGTGACCAAAATTGGATGCAATATTCCAAGTGTGGCCTTACCAAGGCCTTGTAAAGTGGTATTAACACTTCACGTGATCTTGATTCTATCCCTCTGTTAATGAGCCTAGCACTGTGTTGGCCTTTTTGGCAGCTGCAGCACACTGCTGGCTCATATTTAAATGATTGTCCACTAGGACTCCGAGATCCCTCTCACAGTTACTACTATTGAGCAAGGTACCCCCTATACTATCTATCTTACTATAATATCTACTTACCCTACGTAGATGTATTTTTTCCGTGATGATCTATCTCTAACTTGTCCTTCTGATTTTTCAGTGGCACACCTATTGCCATTCTGAGTCCATCCAACACAATTTACTTTTTCGTTCTTAAAAGTCCTGATAGTTTGGTGTATACAGTACTTTTTTTTTTGTAAAAGTAGTGCTGCTGGAGGAATTTGAAAAGTTGATGGAGGTTTTCAAACACTGATGTATAGAACTTATCACCTGCATTTCATAGTAACTGAAATTCCAAAGAGGATGGTACAGATTAAGCTAAAACCATAATGCAAACCATTTCAGAAAGCCACAAAATAGTTCTGTGTTAATACTGGAACACCAAGAGTTCTAGCATAGCAATAAAGAATATTTGCCTTACACTTTTCTTCTCCCTTTCTTAAACAGAAGAAGACCTACCAGTGTATCAAGTGCCAGATGACCTTTGAAAATGAAAGAGAGATACAGATCCACGTTGCAAATCATATGATTGGTAAGAAGTCATCAGCCTTGATTCCTTTGGCTTAATCTCGGCTGTTAACTTTTCTATTTAATCTGTAGCATTTTATTTTGTGATTCTTTGACAATGATTTGACATTTTCTGCTTAGGTGTGATTCAGATGGACTGTTTTGATATGGTTAGTTTTTCTCTATAAGTTCATCTCTGCCAGCTCACCTCTGTGTGGTTCGGGGGGGGGGGTACACATTAAGACCTTTAAGTCATGTTCAAGGGTCAAGATTGTGTAGTTTCTTTTGATTTTCTTAAAGATCTATTGTTTTAAGAAAGGATACTAGGTGTAAACAGTTATGTCTGATTCTTCTGGTTTGGGATTATATCTTGTAATCATAGATTGTAGCAAACTTAGTTAAGATATCCTGTTTTGATTGTTGCTTCAATGTATGCATGTATGTATGCATGTATGTATGTATGTATGTATGTATGTATGTATGTATGTATGTATGTATGTAGCAGGATAACCCTAAAGTTGTGCTGGTTTTCCATTTGCTAAGTTTCTAAGGATGTTCTTGTCTTCATGAAGCAGTGGTTTCTGGAGATGGAATGGTGATCTGGGGATTCAGAGAAAACAGTAAACCACCATTAACAAAAAATATGATTTCAAACATAATTAAGAGTCAAATTCCTCCTATGACAATGAGAGTTTGAAAATCTTCTACCTTATAACATACCATTTCTATTTTAACTGGAGTGCAGGGGATGGGGTGAGGAGTATTTCTGATCTTTACTGATTTTCATCACTTACTGTCTGGTTCTTTGATTGTTGCTTTTTGCATTACTTTCCTTTTCTTTGAGATTTTCTTGAAATGCGATGCCCAGAATTCTATATCATAGTTAAGGTGGTGTTTAATCAGTGCAGAAGAGTTTGGTTGTGACTCTTCCAGCAACTGAACATTCTTCTATTAATACGGCACGTGATGAGCATTTGAAGAGGGACAGGTGTAGACAGAGTTTAGAAGATTCTTACCTTTGCGGTGTTGTGTATGGATCAAGTTTTCACGTATTGGTTCATTTCAAAATACTCTCTGAACTTCCTTAGTATTGCATCTGTTCCCCCACCATTCTTGTTTCTGCCCTCTTGATTCAGAGCTTTAGAAGCATTGGGATTGCAACTCCTGATTTTTAGCCAGCATGGAACACTTTTTGTTTATGCAGTCCTGGGATTCTTAGAGTTAGGGTCATGGTCACTTTGGGTGAGATGGGCAAAAATTATCTATCTATCTATCTATCTATCTATCTATCTATCTATCTATCTATCTATCTATCTATCTATCTATCTATCTATCTATCTATCTATCTATCTATCTATTTCTTCTTCCTCCTCCCCCTCCTCCTCTATCATCTTCCATCATCTTCCTCCATCTTCCATCTTCCATCTATCTTCTATCATCATCTATATCTGTCTGTCTGTCTGTCTGTCAACCTACCC